ATAAATTATGTAATTACATCTGTAATTAACTTTTGTTATTACATTTGTAAATACACTTTTGACCATCCCCACACCTTAACCCACCCTTAAACCTACCCATGCCACCAAACCTGTCCATAACCCAACCCCTATCTCAACTCAAAAGTACCACAAGTGTTCTCAAATACATTATAAACACAGTCAGTACATTGTAGTTATTTTTTTGATGCAAGTACATAGTAGTTAAGGACACTTAATATAAAGTGGGACTATATTTTTGGCATCTGTTGTTAACACCAACATGAAAATAGGCAGTTCCTTATATTATGTTTTCATTTCATTGTTAAGAAAGTAAAACAGTGTAGCCTGGATGATGTGAATGACATTATACAGTACACTGTTCCATTTGAAGATTTACCCGACGTGTCCTTTTCTGGTGACTGTGGAGGTCATTTGACTACAATGAACTCATTGTCATGTTCAAGAAACCGGTCTGAGATGATTCGTGCTTTATGGCATGGAGCATTATCCTGCTGGAAGTAGCCATCAGAAGATGAGTAAACTGTGGTCAATGTTTTTTTTAATCTTCTATTGTCCAGTTTTGGTTAGCCTGTGTGAACTGTAGCCTCAGTGTCCTGTTCTTAGCTGACAGGAGTGGCACCCGGTGTGGTCTTCTGCTGCTGTAGCCCATCCGTCTCAAAGTTGGACATGTTGTGCGTTCAGAGATGCTCTTCCGCAGACCTTGGTTGTAACAAGTGGTTATTTGAGTTACTGTTGCCTTTCTATCAGCTCGAAACAGTCTGGCCATTCTCCTCTGACCTCTGGCAGGGCATTTGTGCCCACTGAAATGCCCCTCACTGGATATATATATTTTTCAGACCATTCTCTGTAAACCCTAGACATGGTTGTGCGTAAAAATTCCAGTACATCAGCAGTTTCTGAAATACTCAGACCAGCCAGTCTGGCATGCCATGCCATGTTCAGAGTCACTTAAATCCCCTTTCTTCCCCATTCTGATGCTCGCTTTCAACTGCAGCAGATCGTCTTGACCATGTCTACATGCCTAAATGCATTGAGTTGCTGCCATGTGATTGGCTGATTAGAAATTTGCATTAACAAGCAGTTAAACAGGTGTACCTAACAAAGTAGCCGGAGAGTGTAAATATCCTTAATACGTGCCATAACATTGATTCCCCCCTCCCTCAAAGGCTATCATTGAAAGACAGAAAGACAGCTATCACTGCAGTTTTAGAATGCCGGAAGCAACGTGGTGCTCAAGTGAGGTATTGAGTTGTGAGGACAGCTTGTTTTAGGAGTTTGTCTTTACAAAATGAAGACAGAATAGTTTTGTATCTCATTTTACTGCAATAGGGTATACAGTATGCCGAAGCATGCTAATGGGACTTTTAATTTGCCAGTAACCTGGGTTAAGCGCTTCCGGCGAACTGTATGCAATGGAAAAACCAGCGCATTTAAGGTCTGTTTTCTTTCAAAATCAGCGATCTCCATTAGCTGAGTGATATCCAATATAAAGTGGGTCTCAGATTGTACAAGAAGCACTGCATTACATTACATTTCCCCCGCCGTGTCTTTGTAAAATGAGCATTTATTTCACCCCGGTATATTCAATGGCGCTTCTGCGCTAGCCTGCCGATTCTGACGGGCGCATGCGAGTAAACGACTTTTTGTCTCGTTTTACGCTTGAGCAACTAAATGAATGCCAGAGTTTATTTAACTGAATGTTTTTTAATGACATTACAACATCGATGCTGTAAAAGGAACCGAATAAAATGGAAAAAAAATTCACAAAAACAGCTCACCGGAAGTTTATCAGCATGGAAAAAACCCTAGCTCGGCATATACCCCATTATTGGGCTCACGGATTCAAAGATGACAAGATATCACATTTGTAATAGATTGGATGGATGGATTGAGGCAATAGGCTCAGAACAGCATGTGGGTTTTAGCCAGCAGCTCATCCTCCTGAGGCTACGACATGCTGTTCTCTTGTCACTGATACAGATGGACTTTTGCACCTTTAACTGTCTGCACATATGCTCAGTTCATAAATCATGCCTTTGCTCCCAATGCGCATGCAATCCCGTGCTCCACACTTTCCTTCCTCATTCTTGAGCTTCATTACTGTTAAATAAACTCAAAGGTGTGGCTGCGTCTTTGACTGAATAGGTGGTGGCTTACAAAAACAGCATCTTAACCAAGAAACTATTTAGTGAACTGAAGTGTTTTTCTAGGGCAGCTCCGAGCAAACATGACCGATTGCACAAAAGAATTTGCAGCAAATATTTGGCACAAATCTTTCTCTCGAGTTGATTGACTGAAATATTATTTTTTCTAATCTCCTATCATTTACTCAAGACTTTTATAATAAGATTTATTATTATTTTTCTTTTCTTTTTAAAATATATAAATAGATCCGAGATATTTCCTCATAATTAGTAATAATCTAGTAATTAAAGTAATCAATGTGAATCCGTATTATATGTGCATTCAAAAAAATAATCTCTTAAGGCCCAAGGTGTTTGTTTTTTTTTTTACATGCATTTTTTTATTTCTCTTTGCTATTTGGGCTTATTGGAACCTAATTAGAATAAAAATCTAAGTATCATCTTTTAATATGATGTACTTTTAGAGAAAAATTATGTCCATATGTGGACTCCGAATTTACTTAAAGGACACATAGTTTACCCCTTTTTTATGATTTAATATTAATATTATGGTTTTGGTTATGGTTTTGATTTTGGACAGTTAAAAATAGGATTTAGGACATTTCATATGCTTTAAAACAGTTGCAGGATGACACTGTATGCCTGTAACAAAATATAAAACATTCAAAGTATTTGTCAACGTAATGTGGACGCTCAAGCCCTAGGAGGTTAAAAGTAATCTTCAAAAGATAAAGGCTAAATTGTTAAAGTCAATGCTTACAGGTTTCCAGCATTATGCAAAACATCTTCGTTTGTGTTTAACAGAGTAAAAAGTAACTAAAAGAGTTTTGGAAGTGAATAGGAGAGTAAATGATGACAGAAATTTCAGATTTGGGTGAATGTACCTAAAATACTCTACAGATTTCAATAACACTAATAAAAAAAAAGTCCACAGATTTTATGAAATTCATTTTTTAATGATTTCATTCAGATTTAATAATATCATAATGAAACGTATCTCATATTTCATACTGCATTCATTCACATACACTGCATTAATTGTATGAACACAATCTACACAGTTGGATCTACATTATTTAAAATTTCTATGGTATTTCTAGATAAAAGAGGGATATAAGCAAAATACATTGTTTTGGACTTTGGAAAATCAGTGTAGCTTACAAGTGATAACACACACAACGGCAACATATGTCTAAAATGGCAAAAAATGGCACTTTAAGTGAAGATTCTACTAAAGTGCATATAAAATCTGTTACTCCAGCAGCTTTTTGGTTTTGCACCTGACTACACTCCCTAAGCAAACAAATCAAGCAGTCTTCTGCATGTTATGAAATGTAACAGACATATTTACAGTTAAAGTCAGAATTATTAGCCCCCTGTTTATTTTTTTTACCTAATTTCTGTTTAATGGAGAGAAGAATTTTTCAACACATTTCTAATCATAATAGTTTTAATAACTCGATTCTAATAACTGATTTATTTTATCTTTTCCATGATGACAGAAAATAATATTTGACTAGATATTTTTCAAGACACTTCTATACAGCTTAAAGTGACATTTAAAGGCTTAATTAGGTTAATTAGGTTAAGTAGGCAGGTTAGAATAATTAGGCAAGTTATTGTATAACGATGGTTTGTTCTTTTGAAAACAAAAAATATAGCTTAAAGGGGCTAATACTTTTGACCTTAAAATGGTGTTTAAAAAATTAAAAACTGCTTTTATTCTAGGCGAAATAAAACAAATAAGGCTTTCTCCAGAAGAAAAAATATTATCAGACATACTGTGAAAATTTCCTTGCTCTGTTAAACATTGTTTGGGAAATATTTAAAAAATAAAAAATAATTAAAACGGGGGATAATAATTCTGACTTCAACTGTATATCCAGAGAGAGAGGGAAAGAGAGAGAGATATGTTTCTACAGGTGATTTGTCAAGCATGCACACTCAGATCTGCATAATGTTAATGCTCTCGTGGATTTCTCGAAAGGTTCATGATGTCTTAGTGATTAGGATAGAGACGAATCTCAGTGGAGCTGAAAGAGAATGTGCTGGCCTCCTTCCACAGGAACTTGAAGAATGAGAATGAGTGCATGTTGTGGATTGTGATGCACTTGCGGTTTCATGCATGAAACGTGTCCTTGTGCATTTCCGCACATGTGCTTTTGTTATCGCAGAATCAACACAATTCAGCTTCGTGCCCAAGTGTAATGTAAATGTTTCAATGCACTCACTATTACACACATTCTCACAGACCTATTAAACATCCTCATTCTCAGACTCTGTGCGCGCACTCTGGTCATGAAAGTGTATTTATACACATCTCATAATAGTAAATATAAAGTCTAAGGATAAAATAAAATCTTGAAATAATAAAATATAACCATAAATCTGTTAGAAAAACAAATAAAGAAAAATAAACAGTAAACATCACCAAATCGAAAGATCACTGCTGCTGCTGTGCTTAATAGCTTTTAAAACTACTATTTAAATAGCACTAATTAGCAGGGTTTGCAGATTTCCAATAAAGCTGAACTCATTTTAAATAAACTTGAGATCATTTATGAAAAAAAGTCTCTTCATTTATAATTATTGCTGCACGGTGACTCTCAAGGTAAAATATAATGCAGCAAGTTTTAAGTTGTGATGTTTAGGAAAGGGTTATTGGTCTAATTTGATTGGTAAGCGGGCTAGTTTTGTTTCTCATCTGCATGACCTCCTCATACGACTAACCTGTGATTTGATAAGAAAAGCAGCGAGTTAAATGAGCAGAATCCATTATCCAGAAAAAGAAAATCTTCATGTTTATGGACACATTTTTCTGTGTTTCTTTTACAGGAGGAGGAGATGTTTCGTCCTAATATGTTCTTCCTGTTACTTCTTCCACCAATCATTTTTGAGTCTGGATACTCATTGCATAAGGTAAACATTGGTGTAATGTTAATTATGATCAATATTTTGCTGTAAAATGTGACATAAATTCACCCTGAAATCGTAACCGAATGTGCTAAATAATGACATAACAAATAGATGATTAAAACACACCAGAAGCGGTATGCATGAATAAATCGTGCTATTTGCATGTAAATAGATACGTGAGCCTTTTAAGTTTACTCGCTTCATTAGCGCATCAAATTCAATAAAATAATTACAAGTTTAACTACTATTTTTTTTATTTCATATATTAAGTTTTTAGTTAGGATACTCCCAAAATAATTCTTGAAAAATCAGCAGATTTTTTTTTTTTTTTCAATATTCTCCACAGAAATAGCAAAAAATATCCGCAGATTCTGTCTGGCCCTACATATTTGTAAAAAAAAAAACTACGGTTATTGAGTAATTTGTTTATATTACTGTTGTTCTTTGACTACATGAATGAGTTGTTCAGTTTTGAACATTTGACATTTTTGCAACACAGCGCTTTACCACAATTTAGCCAGCAGAGGTCCTCATTGAGCTTTGATTTGGAAAGCTTCGAGTAACGAACGTTTTTTTCCGATACAATCGAACAGTTCACTTGTTCAGAAGACTTCATTTCACCATCACTAATAGACACGGATCATTTGTGGAGCTTCTGTCTGCCCAGCGACTCGTAGTTTGGTTTCTAAATGGCTAACACGGATTGTTGAGAGAGTAGCTGTGCTTTAGGAAGGCTGAAAAACAGCGTAGATTCGTTTGGCGCCATGTCAACTAGATTCTTTCAGAGGTGCACCCAGCTCAGTGAGTTCATCAACTCCTAAAGAAACTGTACTTGAATAATGTAAGCTTTCAGCGGTGCTTTTGATTGAGGTGAGCCCAGTTTGATAAGCTGTTGTCCGGAGTCAGCAGGAGGATTTCTTCTTGGGACACCAACAACAGGCACTATGTTATAATCATGCTCATACTAAAGCAAGCTCCTGATTGGTTAACATGGTGCAAATGTCTGTTGCGTGATGCACGTCAAACTCGAAAACGCACAACTTGCACCTCTTTATTCGTAAAATCATGTTATTCGCACCACCTCATTTGCGAAAATCGTGCTGCAGGATGTCGGTTTACGTGTTTGCATTGACTTAACATGTACATCACTTGAGTTTGATGCCTCATCCACGTCTGGTGTGAACGTACAATTACAGTTGTGTTGTTTAATATTGTCATATTTTTGCTACATCTCAATAAATAGATCAAAAAAATTAAAAACTAAACACAAACATGCACAAAAAACTGAAATTATTTCTATTTGTAGGCTGCGCTCAAGTATAAACAGTACAATACAACACAATCAGTGTCATCTGATTCACAAATTAACATCACGAACTTGCTCTTTTAATGAATTGTTTCATTCTAAAAGAAACACAGATGTCTGAAAGATATTTGACAGCCTAAATATCTTGACCTAGTCTTTTGAATCAAGTAGTACAGTGTGAAATCTAAGAATAGCACTTTAATTAGTCAGCAAACTGTTTTCGAGGAATATCAGTATTGTTTGCCCTCTGGCTTAAGTCAGAGACTCTTGTAGTTCTAAAAACAGATTGACCATTCAGGTTTTTATTTTCTGCAGGGTAATTTTTTCCAAAACATAGGCTCCATCACGTTATTCGCCGTGTTTGGAACAGCGATTTCAGCTTTCATCGTGGGAGGGGGAATCTACTTCCTAGGCCAGGTATGTTATTTTTGTTTTATGAAACTTTTCTCACGTCTTTCTATGTAAACAGACCTGTAAATGAGTTCGGTGAGTGGTTCATCTAGTTAAACTGGTTTGCACGCCTTAACCACAATAGTGACTGGCATGTTTCAATGTGTCTGTTGAACAGGCCGATGTTATCTACAAGATGACGATGACAGACAGGTGAGAAGTCTGCTTGTATACTATCAAGAAAAGTGTTTTGAGAATGCGCATGCACAGTCTTTTTCTTTTTCCTCCAGTTTTGCGTTCGGCTCTCTGATCTCCGCTGTAGATCCCGTGGCCACCATCGCCATCTTTAACGCTCTGAATGTGGATCCTGTACTCAACATGCTGGTGTTTGGGGAGAGCATCCTAAACGACGCTGTCTCCATCGTATTAACAAAGTACGCATCTAAACTCTTATGCTTTCTTTCATCAAGTCAGTTCTTTGGATCTAAAAACAATGCATCTCACACTCATTATGCTTCTTTCCACTAAAGCTAAAAATAAAAAAACAGCTCTTACCCTTCAAAACTTATACTCTCAAATCAGCCAGCAGTTACAGTGTACTCGGAAAGTATTCACACTTCACTTTGTCCATTTTTTTATTATGTTAGAGCAGGGGTGGCCAACCCTGTTCCTGTAAAGCCACCCTCCTGCAGATTTCAGTTGCTACCCATATCAAACACACCTGAACCAATTAATTAGGACCTGAACACCATGTGATAATTACAGGCAGGTGTGTTTGATATGGGTAGCAACTGAAATCTGCAGGAAGGTGGCTCTCCAGGAACAGGGTTGGCCACCCGTGTGTTAGAGCCTTATACAAAATTTAATTAAAGAGAGACCCCCTCCTATGATTGTAAATCATAAGTATATGGCAATACATTGCAAATACAATTGAAATCAGAAGTTTACATACACTCTGTTAATGTGACTAAACCTTTTTTCTCTTTTAGGTAAGTTAGGATCAAATTAGTTTCTGTTCTGCTTAATAGCAGAATAATGAGAGATATTTTTTGAAAAATTGTTATAACTTTTCTTGAAATTCAAGCATACATACAATAAGATTATTCTGCCTCTGAGAAAGCTCAGGTGATGGTGTCAAGGTTTTGGAAGTTTCTGATTGGCTGATTGACAACATTTGAGTTAATTGAAGCACAACTGTAGAATAGTATTTAAGGAAAAGCTCAAACACACTGCTTCCTTGTGTGACAACATGGGAAAATCATCAAGCCAGAATCAACAACAAAGCCAGATTACAATTTGCTAAATTACACTGGGATGAAGACTAATGTTTGGAGACATGTCCTGTGCTCTGATGGAACTAAGATTGAACTGTTTGGCCATAATGACCAGTGTTACATTTGGAGGACAAAGAGGAAAGCTTACAAACCTGGGAACACCATCCCAACTGTGAAGTATGGGGGCGGCAGCATCATGTTGTGGGGCTGTTTTGCTGCAGGAGGGACTGGTCCACTTCACAGCATAGATGGCTTCAAAATAGAAAGAAAGAACATTGTGTAGAAAGCAACTGAAGCAACATCTCAAGACATCAGCCAGGAAATTAAAACTTGGCCTCAAATGGGTCTTTCAAACAGACCATGACCCTAGGCATGCTGCCAAATTAGTTAAAATGTACTTTAAGGACAACAGAGTGAATATTTTGGAGTGGCCATCACAAAGCCCTGATCTCAATCCTATAAAAAAAATTATGGGCAAAGTTGAAAAAGCTTGTGCGAGCAAGAAAGCCAACAAATCTGACTGAGTTACACTAATTCTGTCAGGTGGAATGGGCCAAAATTCCTTCAAACTGTTGTGAGAAGCTTGTGGAAGGACACCCACAACATTTGACCAAAGTTATACAGTTTAAATGCAAAGCTAAAAAAAATACCAAGGAAATGTGTGTAAACTTTTGACCGTCTAGAAATTAATAAAAATTCTCCAAAAAAATAAATCTCTTATTATTCTGGCATTTAGCAAATGTAAATCATTTTAGGTAATCCTAACAGACCTAAAATAGTAAACCTTTAGTATAATATCCCGTCAGACTTTTTTTTTTTAAATGGTTATGTTCCTTTTTTTTAGAGTGTATATAAACTTCTGGTTTCAACTGTACATTCATTCATTTATTCAATATAGATTAAATATTCTTTATTTCCTCAATTCTACCAGCAATACCCTATAATAGCACCCCTATAATGATTTTTGACCAATTTGTTGCAAAAAATAAACAAAAATGAATAAATTATAGTAATAATTAAATGTTCAAGGATGTAATTTCAATCTGCCATCCCTTTTTGAGTCTGTAGAGACAGGGTAGGTAGGATCAAAGGGCGGCAACAAAACTTTAGTTTCAGCCTCCGCTTCAACCTACATCGCCATTATACCTTACATCCTTACTCACAGGACTGCGCTGCCTTTCAACTGCATAATAAGATTCACTCTCATCTGGAGCATCACTAGTGGTTTAAAAAAATTCCATTTCAATCAAATGTACATAAACAGTTTTCTTTACTGTCGGCTGGCGGCTTATTTGGAAATATGCAGCGATTTCAGAAAGATCATCTTTACGTAACTTATCAAATTGTTCTATTGAAGGATTACTAAGGAACATTTTCAAATTGAACGACGCCATATCAAAATTGTCACTAAACAACTAACTAGAAGCAATAGACGAGTCTTACCCAAACTCACGCTTTTGCACATTTGACGGACTTGCCCCCGAGCTACAATTCACGCACATGTATGAAAATTGGCACACACATCAAACATGCCAATACCTACAAAAAAGTCTCATAGAGTGAAATCTCAAACCCAACAGGAAGTCAGATATTTTTTACTTCGTGTGCCAAGAAAGTGCACTTTTAGCAATTTTCAGGCATTGTATATTATCGAACTCCTCCTAGGGATTTTATCCGATCAACACCAAAATTCGGTATTGTCATCTAAAGCCCTTGGCAATGTGAATTTGCGAAGATCTAGAGTTTTCGTCAAAGGGCCGTGTCCGTTGCAGCCTCGCAAACTTTTAACGATTCACCGTTAAACAATAACTTGTTACAACTCAGGCATGCATTGCCTGATCTGCAGCAAAATTCACACGTTTGATAACAGTCCTGACCTGAACACGTCTTAATACCAATATCCAGTTACAGTTATAGCACCACCTGCTGGCAACAGGACATGACATGTTTTAGTTTGCCAAAGTCCTCCCACAAATTTTATGACATCAAATCCATGTTCCATTAGTTTAATCCAAAGGCTTTTACGATGTTAAATTGTGAAGAACTAGAGTTTTCGCCGAAGGGCATGTCCGTGGCAGACTGACAAATTTCAGTGTATCACCATGGAGGAGGAAGTACTTTTACCTCAGCCAAACATAGTCTGATCTGCCAGAAAATTCACAGGTTTGATGAGATTCATGTGCTGAGGACATCTACATGCCAATATTGAGTCACAGTCATAGCACCACCTGCTGACAGAAGGAATTGGCCACTGTTCTCTGTCATCTTAAGGCCACTGGGCGGCGGTGAGCCCAGGTGCGAGGTCCCTTTAATTGCTGCTTGCAGCTTTAATTTTCATTCATTTATTCATTTTCTTGTCGGCTTAGTCCCTTTATTAATCCGGGGTCGCCACAGCGGAATGAACCGCCAACTTATCCAGCAAGTTTTTACGCAACAGATGCCCTTCCAGCCGCAACCCATCTCTGGGAATCATCCACACACACATTCACACACACACACACACACACACACACACACACACACACACACACACACACACACACACACACAATGGACAATTTAGCCTACCCAATTCACCTGTACCGCATGTCTTTGGACTGTGGGGGAAACCCACGCAAAGGCAGGGAGAACATGCAAACTCCACACAGAAATGACAACTGAGCTGAGGTTCGAACCAGCGACCCAACGATTGCTGTGAGGCGACAGCACTACCTATTGCGGCACTGCCTCGCCAGCTTTAATTTTAAACAAATACTTTTTTGCGCACCCCATTGACAGATTTTTATTTTAAGGAAAGACTCTTGATTTCTGACTCAAACTTTGGACTTATTGTTTCTGAAAACAAGACAATATTTTTTACAAGCAGAAAAATGCTTCTTGATATATTTTATGTTATATGTTTTGAAAAAGTGAACCAATAAGGCAACTTTTTCTGACAGCTATGATTTACAGCGGGTGGTGAAATGTCCTCACCACAGTCTTTGCAAAAGTAGATCACCCCAAATCTGCACAGCTTCTGCAGTGGACCAAAATGAAATGATCAAACCTCAAATGCAGACTGATCCGTGTGGTTTTGCAGACACAGACTCAGCATCAACCAGCAGCATTTGGTTGTGAGTTGGTGTAATTTCTCCTGCATAAACTGGTCACGCTCTCTCTGTGTCTCAGCAGGTGTTCGTGTAAGTGTGTCAGGCTCTCCAGTCTGTGGCCAAACTGCCGTTGGCCTTGTGGCCTGCAGACATCCCCATTCTGTCTGTTTCTGCCTTCTGCTCGTTTTTCGCTTCCATGTCCCATGATTTATGGCCAAATGAAAGTGTTCTGTGTTTCCGTGTGATAAATCTGCTATGATTCAGGCTCTCCGACTTTTAAATCTTGCAGAAAAACTGTGATACACTGCAAAAAGATACTTTGCTTACTTAGATTGTTTGTCCAAATATCTAAAATAAAAATTGTCTTGTTTGAAGAAATGTGTCAAACTTACAAGCTAAATAATCTTCTTATGAGGTAAGAAAAATAGTCCTGTTTTATCTTTTGACCTAAGATTATTTTGCTTAACCATTGGCAGATTATTGAGCTTGTTTTAAGGAAAAACTCACTTATTTTTGACACATTGATTCTTAAAATAAGATTTTTTCTTTCTTTCTTCATTTAAGAATTTTGGGATACTGTATTTAGACTAGGGCTGGGCGATACAGCAAGAAAAATATCACAACATATTGTTTTATACCATTCGATATCGATAATTATTGAATATCTCATTTACAATCCATTGAGGAATTTTCAGGATGTTTTATTTATTATTTATTATTTATTTAACATTACTAAGGCAAATAGTTTTAATAGTCAAATAAATAAATAAACAAAAATATCTTGCCTCATGTCTTACAATAAAATAAGCAAAAGTGTTAAAGAGACTCTTAAACTTGATAAGTATGTTAGAAAGTGTGTGCAATGGTGAAGTGTAAATGCTGAGCAATCAAAGCAAACTTTAGGGTAGATCAACATCTGTAAGATGTCAATAATAATGTTGCCGTAAACCTCAAACTCTGTCAACAAAACTAATTATGATAATCAAATCTGTGTATGTGTGTGAATGAGTGTGTATGGGTGTTACCCAGTATGGGGTTGCAGCTGAAAGGGCATCCGCTGCATAAAACATT